TAAGAAAACAACCAAGCTCAGACAACACCAAGATCCCCTCATGACAGTTTAATGTTTAAATATTATAGTGCAAATCATAAACCTTAGAATAAGAGCAACACAGCTAATAATTGCATTGAGACGGTAAACTTGAGAGAGGATATGTTTCGACAAGAAATACATGCTTCTTAATTTTTTTCAGAACTATTGGGTATTTTATTAAAAAGTCATAGCTTAAGTTCTAATCCTTTGAATTTGAAAACAACCAATTAATTAACTGTTGAGGTCTTGAGACTGTGTGTGTGTGTGTGTGTGTGTGTGTATGTAATATTCTACAAGTATCTTTGAAATATGCATTTTTAAAGCACCCATTAGGAACTATGAAAGTACTGCACTTAGTGATTTCAATAATACACAATATCTGTAAAAATGATATTTAGCATATTCAAACCGCAATACAATAATTCTAAAACTGCTCTTCCCATATCTTTTTATGAAATTGCTTTGTAAGTACAGGTAGTCCTCGACTTCCTTTAGTGACCATTCAAAATTACAATGGCACTGAAAAAAAGTGATTGATAATCGTTTTTCACACTTACAACCAACTGCAACCGCTTCATGGTTACATGATCAAAATTCAGATGCTTAGTAACTGACTCATATTGATGACCATTGCAGTGTCCTGGGGTTATGTGATCACTTTCTGTAACCTTCTGACAAGCAACATCAATGGGAAAGCCAGATTCACTTAATAATCCTGTTGCTAACTTAACAATTGCAGTTATTCACTTAACAAATGTGACAAGAAAAGTCGCGAAATGGGGCAAAACTCACTTAACAACTGTCTAAAATAACGACAGAAATTTGGGGATCATTTGTGGTCATAAGTTGAAGAATACCTGTATATTAGAAACATAGGCACATAAAAGCACATAAATAAATATTTCCACAAAGGTCACCATATGTTGTTAAGGGAAACCTGTCACTTATACTTTTATTATCTGTAACCATCAGTTACTATATTCACTTCCTTAGCATATCAATTGATGGCCAAAAATATTTATGAGCAAGTTTCAGGGTCAAGAAATTAGAAACTATTTGTTTTTCCCTATGGATTTTAACAGATCATTGCCAGCCTTAAGTGCCTCTGGTTTTAAAAGAAACAAAAAACAGAGAAAAAGAGCAAATACACTAGTAAATTACAGCTATTCTGCTCAGTAACAGAAGCCTAATTTACTTGATTAATCAGAGATACATTTCATTTATTTATTAATACTATGTCTTTCTTCTGGAAATTCAAGAAGATATGCAATATGTAATACCTTATTCATTTTCCTCACAATAACCTCAAGTCATTCAGTAGCCTTACCATCATATGAAAAAGTACTCCCCATTGATTTTTTTTTGATTTTTTCAAAAAATATTTCCACATTTGATTTTCATTTAAACAATGCTAATAATGTAACAGTGTCATACATCTTTTATATTTTGTAGTCCATTTGTAGTCCGTTGTGTAATTTATGTAAACATAAATGCATATGGAAAAAGTTAAGCACACTCCTACATTCATCACTGTCTCAAATACCTAAAATTAGAATCAGGTGTACCAGAGCAGATATAAATGATTAGAACATCATTAGAGACAATCTGGGAGGAAGCTCTTTAATTTAAATGTCAGACAGTTGCTTTGATTTGCTCTTTGTTGTTGAACTTTGTGGTATCACCATTCATAGGTCGAAATATCTCTCTAAGACTTTCAGAAAGGTTACAGATGCCTATAGGTCTTGGAAGGGATTTAAAAAGATCAGCAAACAATTGGACATCAACCATACCACTGTCCAGAAGATCATTTATAAGTTGAGGCGATTTCAAACAACTATCAACCTGCCCAGGCCAGACCAACACAACAAGTTCAGAATGGAATGTAAAATGCTGAAAGAAATCACTAAGAACACCAGAATTTCATCACATCACCTACATGTAGCATTTGCCACTATTGATGGCAAAGTACATGAGCCTGCCGTTAGAAAAAAAGCTGAACAAATTAGATTCCCAAGGCAGTACCAATAATAAACTTTTATTGTCCAGAAAGAACATCAGGGTAAGACTAACATTTGCTCATGTACTCCTAGGCAAAGATAGGAGTTCTGGAACATTGTGCTCTGGACAGACATAGCAAAGATAGGGTTATTTGGCTATAGTACCAGAAAAACTGGCAACAAATAAAGACAGAATTTCATCAAAGAACTTGATACTAACTGCAAATCATGGTGATGGAAATGTTAAGATTTGGGGCTGCTTTGCTGCATTAAGGCTTGGGCAGCTCGCCCTCACATAAACCACTATGAATTCTTAATTGATTTGGAGTATAAAGTGAGAAGATTGAAGTAAAAGTAGCTTGCAACATTTTAGTAAACCCACCAAGATACAGCTGGGGGAAAAAATGAAGGGTTTTGAAATGGTCAAATCAAAGCCTATATATAAATCCCATCAAGAGGTATGGGGTGATTTGACATAGGCTGTCTGTGCAAGAAATCCCTAAAACATCACACATCTAAAAATAATATTGTGTAAGGATGAAAATATTCTTTCAACCAGTGTCAAAGATTGGTAGACAATTAAAAAATAATGCCTATATGATATTATATCTGCTAAAGGAGGCAATACCAAGAATTAAAGCTAAAGGTAGATTTACTTTTTCCACAGAAGGAAATGGCATATCTGTTAATTTTTTGTTGAATAAATGACTGAAAGCAATCTTTTGGGGTTGTTGTTTTTTTGTTCAATCACATCAGTTTTATACTGTTAAAATGAAAACAACATATTATTATAGATATTATATCTATCTATTCCTCTTTTTTAAAAAGGAAAAGACTCTTTATATCGGATGCACTTACTTTTTCACATGACTGTGGATGAGTGAGAAAAGATTTGGACTTTGCTCCCCTACATCTTCATCTAGTACTTTAACATTACATTTTAACATTTTAGAGATATTATCAAGTTAATTTGAGTTGCAGTATAAATGAAAACAATGTGCAATATGGAAAAGCAGAAGATATATCTCTTCTAGACAAAGCCACCTGATTTTGTCAAAACAACGAATATATAGTAAGAACTGGGGTTACTAAGAAACAAAAAAATATAAATTGCAGTAACCCCCTTTCCTTCACCCACAGAGTCTTACATAACAGGACCAAGCACAATGCAAAATGATACTGGATGAACCTCTATTTCTTAGTAAGAAGACTAGTTATAATAGACATTTTGTCAATATATTTCAGGAATAATTTTTTCCTTATAATAAGCCATATATAATAATATTAAAATATTACGGCTAGATATGCTCAGTTTACTGTAAAGGTAGGTTTTCTTATAGGTTTACCTGATAACTATGATAAAGAGTTTAAATGGAACACACTATAATGATAGTTTTCCTAGCAGGGCATGATTATGAGATCATACATCAATAATGTCTCAGCCAATAGCTACTCGAATAACAAGTTAAAGGAGAGAGCTTCTAATTAAAAGCAAATCACTCTGAAGAGCCCCATTCATACTTTGGCAATCACAACAAATACTTTCATATATTTGGATGAATTATTGGGGAAAAATTATCACAAATCAGGTGACCATAGGAAGCACTGCAATGTGATTTAAAATTAGTGAAGAAAGATCTGCAGTCCTAGACTACACAACTAATATTGAAGCATCAGTTTTAAAGAAATTATTTTAATGCTGTATATCTTCATAATGTAAATGAAATTTATTTGATGTTTCAAAGTACATATATACAATTTACTTAATGATAACATAAAAGTATTTTAAAGTTAACAAGATCCTATTTAAATAATTACTTCAGTAAATATCTCCTTGAATTTGCAAAAAACATATTAAAATATTGTAGAAAATCTAATGAAAATTATTAACTTACAAAAAGATAACATTAACAGTTCATTATTATTCCCTTTTTCCCTTTACTAAACTACACATTAAATATTCTCTTTTTTGTTCATAGCAGGTATATACTGGACTCATTCTTCCCCTAGATGTATTTTTATATCAGTAAATTCCTTCAGATAATTATGTTGGCCACAAATAACAGCTTGCATATTTCTTGTAAAAGAAAAGCTAAGACAAAGAATTTGCTGATACACTCATGTCGCTCCAAGAATTCTCCTGACAATGTTCCCACACCCAACCTAATTACTTCCCTACTGTAAAAACATATTCCATCTGCACTTATTCCAATACTCTCAAGTCCAAAACCAATACACAATAAAGTCAGTTAAATAAATGAAAGATTGAAACCCATATAAAAAGTCCTCAGCTATTCTGCAAGGGAAAGCATCTCCAACACCCATTTTTATGCTGACATTTTACTTTATGTATAATATTTTCTTAAGCCCTGTTTATGAAAGAATTATCATGCACCAGGAATATATTCTCTACCATAGCACACTCTTAGTGTCACTCTGGTTTAAGGTTTATTGTTGACTTTATGTAATACTTTGCTCTACTTTGTACCAACAAATTTTCATTTGAAATGTATACAGCAGCAATCCCCAAACTTTTTGGCATCAGGGCAGAAAGGCAATTTTTCCACGAACCAGGGAAGGATGATTTTGAAATCCTGCACATGTGCAGATGAAGTTTTGCTTGCTCTCCTATTGCTTGTACAACCCAGTTTCTAACAGGCAAGTAATGGTCTTATTTTGTTGCAAAACTAGAGACACACAATAAACATTGAAATATATTATATGGAATATTTTATTAATATCTGTTCCAGTTTTATTCCATGTAAAAGACAGAAACAGATGTTATAAATCGTAATTTATATTTTGCCCTAGTTTTAAGCTTGGCATATATATATATGTATGTATAGTCCAAATCATGGCATTTATATGTAGAATTTACAATTTTTGATAATAATTCACCTTCTTATTTTCATTAACTTTTGGCTTTAATATTATTTTTATAAATAATTTAATAGCTGCTTATCACTAAAATTTGTCAAATACCTGGAATTCTGAGATTCTGAAACATCTGAATCTGGGCACGTTTTTTTCACCTGCAAAAAGAAGAAATAAAAGAAGAATCATGCTTACAAGTGATCATAACCACAAAGATTTCCTCATTTGAAGTCGATGCAAAATGAATATTTATTATTCATCACAATCTCTGTAAAATGCTTCTCATATTCTATAATACGGATATATGATGTACAGAGTGTTTAATTATCCTATAAACAAATCAAACGCCTAAATTTTTCCAAGTCAAAATCCGAAAGCTAGATTGTTTTCAATTCTGTATAGAATTATTTTCTGAACTGATATCATTTCTATTTCTTACTGAGTCTTGTAATAATAAATACTAGATTCTGTGAAAAAAGTGCAGGATAATGCAGAAAATTTGGGGAGATTAAATTCAAAATGGAACCACGGCTCTTCTTACTGGGTATAATCCTAGAAAAAACATCATCAAAAAACATCATAGGATATAAGCTTACAGCAGCAAGAATAAATTTTGCTCAACACTGGAAGAGCAACACAATTCTGGTAATATTTGACTGGGAATTTATATTTGGAAAATATGCAACAGTAGCAAAACTAACAATGTATGTGTGTGCACACACGGGGGACAGCATAGCAAACTTAATTATAGTTTGGCTTCTAAGGGGGCCTAAATGTCTACAAATTATTCCATGTGATCATGTGGTGTTGCAACTAGTTATAAGGGCAAACCAATTGAGAAATGATTGCCCAGATTGTGAACATGTGATTGTGGAGGTGTTGGCCCAGCCATAACTATGAGAATTGAATATAAGCGCCATTTGTTCAGCATTGACATAATTTTGGACAATTGCTGAACAAATGGTTGTAAGTCAAAGACTATCTCTAAAATGGAAAAAATGGGCAGAGCTAGTTACTAAGTTTTGTCTTCTGAAATGGGTACATTTTTTGGCCATTGTGTAGTGTTCAAGTTCAAATATTTTGCAGTGATCTAATGACATTTATATTATGTACTTCAGTTTTTCAATCTATCTAATAGATGCAAAAACAGCATTCAATGAATTTATATTTTAAAAGAACACAAATGAAGAGGTTCAAATTTTTATGCTTTACATAGGGTTTGAGTCTTTTGAAACTCATGTAAGCAATCATAATTGAAACTTACACAAAATTAATGCAGTTTGGATAAAACTGTCATAAAAGCCCTACCATCATCTTACATGTTACATGTTTGATAGAAGATACTTTATAAGCCTGATCATATCTATAGTCTTCTAGTAAAAGAAATACAGTTCAATATTGACAATCAACAGTTAGAAACCATAAACTCAGAAATATTTTTTCAAGGATCAGATACAAGCTTCTAGTTCAAGCTTTCATCAGTCAGAAATATTTATTGACAATGTTCAAAATACAAATGAAAATCATTGCTAAATTTTATTTAAGAGCAATAAATAGCAAGCCTTAGCTTCCCCCTTTCTCTTCTTTTGCACCTGTTATCAAAAACTCAAAAGAAATTCATTGCCAGTGTTTAATGCACCAAAGTACATGATTTACAAATATATGGAATGGTTTAATACTTAGAAATGGGGGTGCGATGGCTCAGTGATTAAAGACACTAAGCTTATTAGCTGGAAAGATGGCAAGACCTGAGCGCCATGCAACGGGATGAGCTCCCATTACTTGGGCCAGCTCTTGTCCACCTAGCAGTTCAAAAGCATGCAAATGCAAGTAGATATAAATAGGTACTAATTTGGTGGAGAGGTAACAGTGTTCTGTGTGCCTCTGGAGTATAGTTGTGCTGGCCACATGACCATGGAGATGTCTTCAGACAACATTGGCTCCCTCACTAAAAAACAGAGAAGAGCTACTACTTCCTTGAATCAGATACAACCAGAGAGGGGAAACCTTTACCTAATACTATGAGAACAAACTAGGGTGCTCAGTAGAGTAAAAAAGAAAAGTATTAAGAGAGGAAAAATAGGTAAATTATCCATAAGGAAATGAAAGTACTTCAGATAGTAGACACAATAGAACTGTGCTAACAATTTAAACCAAGTATTTGTAGAATGTATTGGGCACAAGGAAAATAGTCTCTGTGAAGAGCTAAGGTAGCCACATCCCACAGAACGTCATTCCAGGGCTGACTGTCCATATGTGCTTGTAGAGATAATACATTTCTGAGGACACTTGTGAAAACAAGTGTGCACAAACACAGCCAGAGCAAGAGGAAGACTTTGATACAGCACAGAACCATTAGTCAAGAGGAAGTAGCTGCTTTAATTATACAAAGAGGAGTACTTCATTTAATTCAACATACTCTGAGAAGTATCCTTTCTAATACTTTGAGGACACTTCAAATCTTCAAAAGTTATTTACCTACATTGCTTCTATACAGATTTTTACTTCTCTCCAGACCAAACTTATAAGACCTGCACATATAAATGGAACTTAAGAATATATTATGGAATATCTCTGTTGTATTAATAAACAAATCCTGATATCAAATACTTCAAAGACATTAATAATATTAAGTCAAAGCTAGAAGAGGACAATATATTATCAAGTATTAATCTCCTGGAGTATTTAAAAACACTCATTGTTAGAAATGGATTTTACAACAAAACAACAAACAACCTTGTAATTTCCTCTTCCAACCCATCTAGCTAACTAACCTAACTTTCTCCCATTTTGTTCTGATCTCTCTAGAAAACAGCAGTATTTAACTCCCAATCCATTCTTCCCAGTTGGCTTATTTTTAGATGGTTCAGGCCGGTATTTTCTAGAATAGAAAGGCAGGGTATAACATAATTTAGTCCATTTATTTATGGTCACTGACCAGTCTATATCTACCCAGAAAAACATGAAAATGATAAATGAATGTAATGTGCTTCGTTCTCATTGCTAGGAAGTTCTCCAAATTGGGGTTGATTAATTCTGACTTCAGATTTTTATAAAAGTTACAACAGATGTGTAATGTATTATCTTCTTACAATGGGAGTGATGGGTGTAAATTTGGAAAATATGCTCACTGAAACTATTTTATTAACATACATGAGTAATATTCCTGTCTCAATAGTGGGATCTCAATGCAAAGTTTCATGATTTCATGTACAGGTAATCCTCGACTTACAACAGTTCATTTAGTGATCATTTAAAGTTACAATGGCACTGAAAAAAGTGACTTATGACCATTTTTCAAACTTACAATGATTGCAGCATCCCCATGGTCAGACACTTGGCAACAGACATGTATTTATGACAATTAAGAGTGTCCCAGAGTCATGAGATTACTTTTTGTGAACAAAGTCAATGGGGAAGCCAGATTCACTCAATAACCATGTTACTAACTTAATAGCTGCAGTGATTCACTTAACAACTGAAGCAAGAAAAGTCATAAAATGGGGAAAAATTAACAAATGCCTCACTTAGCAACAGAAATGTTGGGCCCAACTGTGGTAAGTCAAGGACTACCTGTATACTTTTGCTTCCCGGTGTGAAAATGACTTGAATTTCAAGTATCAACCACACTTCTGAAGTCACTAATGATAGAAAGATATAAAATACAGTTCAATTCAATATTTTCTTTAGAATTCAGATTTTGAAACTATCTCTAGAAGTGAGATCTTTGTGTAGTGCATCCATGGCTCCCAGCATAGAACTGCTGGTGGGATCATATTGCTTTCAACAGAAGACCAAAACTTACTCCCTTGCAATCCCTTCCTTTCTAATCTCCCTGTTCTCAGAGGTGGTGGAGTAGAAGGATGAGACAAAGAAATTGCCTACAGAAATCACCTGTTTTTCTCCTTTCCTCCTCTTTGTAGAATGGAGAGATTGGAGAGGAAGAGATTTCAAGAGAGTAAGCTGTTTGAATAGCATACCTGTGGTTCCCAGCCCTGGGCTTCTGATGCGATCGCATTACTTGTGATGTCTACAAGATAGCAAGTAAGCACTTGAACATTTCAAAGAGTAGGGCAGTGGTTAAGAGGCAAACAAAAACCAAAGGTGTGAAATTGAGCATAATAGTCCTTTCTTTTTCTAGTCTGAAAACTCAGTCACAGTCATGTGATTTCCTATTCTGCTTAGCAGCAGAATTGCTGGTTCCACTTAGATAAGAATTGTCTGTATTAAAAAAATATAGAAGTAAATCAGATAAGATTTACATGCTCTACTCATGCTGCTTGGGTTTACAATAGAACATGGACTGTATTATTTTAGAGCAATCCTAGAACATAAACTATAAGCCCTATTTGCACAAGCTACAAGAAGGAAGATGCTCAAATTGATACAATTATTTATTACTCAGTCCTAGGAAACTCCTGCAATTTCAAATAACTTTAATCAGCATACAATTTATATCAGTAACAAATATTAAATAGCATAATGCAGTTTTATTTTATATTCTCTTTAAATTATATTGTATTACAAAAACAAAACAAAATTTAGCTGCAAGTAGCTAAAAATAATTAATGCTCAACCCTCTATCTTGGTAGGAAGATCATGTTCCAAAAACTTGAAGGACAAAGAAATGGGTGTGGTTAAGACAAACTGGATTTACTTAATTATTTAATTATGTGTAGGTCATATGATTACATCCTATGTATGTAACGATTGTATGTAATGTTATTTCGTACTCCAAGTATATTTCCCTAAACATCATTTTCAAATAAGCAATAATAAATATGTTCCAGTGATATATTTTGTAAAGCTTCTGAGAACTGCTGTCCACATTTCAAGTCTACATAAAGAAAATTAAACAGTTGTCAATAAATGCTACTGAATTCTAAAATCTCATGTTTTAATTGCTTATCTTTTGTTTTTTATTTTGTACTGTACACTCTTATTTGTCATTCGATATATACTTAATATATGCACAGTGAATGATTTAATATTTTTAAATGATTTTACATAGTTTTTAATAATTCTTTTACAACTATCTAAGCATGGACTTCTTTTTCTCAGCATATATTCTTTTGTGATTCAGGCTAGGAAAATAGTTCTACAATAAAACTATTTTTGTGGAGGCAGTATAATTCTAAGTAAAAATATACCTTTAAAA